ATAAACAAACAAAATAAACTATAAATTATCACGTGTGTTTTAAATATAAAGAGAAGTGCACAATTACATTAAAGATTCTAAAGTACTACATTAGCACTCCTTTACAAAATAAATGCACTTTTACTATGTACTCCGTACATTTTAAATATACAAGCGCACTAGCTATTATATCAAACTTTCTAAAATAAAGTGCATTGTTTTCACTCAGAGAGTGCGTATATATGTGCTTCCCTATTGTGCACAAGAAATTGACATAATTCAAACATAAAGAGAATGCATTAATATCTCGACACCAAGCAATAAAAATCGTCGTTAAGAATTTACCCATCATAATTTTTCAAAATGCAAATAAAAATGGTTGCAATAATAAATCTTCCAAAATAGCAATAATAAAAATGGTTCAGCTGCTGAAATCGTCCAATTTTGCAGTAATTTCAAAATAAATTCTTTATTTTTATATCCATATTTTATATGAAGTAACTACTAACTACTATGTGTATTTCATATAAGAAATAAACAGTGTGGTTTTACCAAATATATTATTTTTATGTAACTATGTTTTTTTCAAAGTTACTAATTACACTTTTTATATCTATAGTAATATTAAAGAATTCCAATTACTCCGTGTATAAGAATTAAAATAATAAAAATAGTAACTACATATTTATATTATTTATTTATTATATACATACACACACACATATTAAAGTATTTTTACGTATTATATATACGAAGTACTACATACTAATTATGTGTATTTATATTACATAGGGTAAGTAAATATATACAATCATATGTGTGTGGATCCAAGCGCACGCGAACACACATATATATGTTGTATGTACACATAACTATTACATTTTTTTGCAAAAAATATAAATACGGAGTATATGATTTGGAAATAAAGTTCAAGGATAAATTTTGTTTAGTTTATATTTTATTTCTTTACTTTTCATTTACCAAAAAAAAATATAGTCATATTTATATTTTATATTTTCGACTTTTATTTTTTATTACATTTTTCTTTTCTATTTTTATTACTTATTATTATAATTATTATTATTATTATTATTATTATAATTATAATTATTATTATTATTATTATTATTATTATTATTATTATTATTATTATTATTATTATTATTGTTGTTATTATTATTATTATTATTATTATTATTATTATTATTATTATTATTATTATTATTATTATTATTATTATTATTATTATTATTATTATTATTATTATTATTATTATTATTATTATTATTATTATTATTATTATTATTATTATTATTATTATTATTATTATTATTATTATTATTATTATTATTATTATTATTATTATTATTATTATTATTATTATTATTATTATTATTATTATTATTATTATTATTATTATTATTATTATTATTATTATTATTATTATTATTATTATTATTATTATTATTATTATTATTATTTATTTATTTATTTCAATTTTGACGTTTTTTAGGGTTGAGGGGTGAACTAAATGATTCAGTCGGGTTCATGGGCTTATTTGACCCTTCAAGTTACCACGTCACATGCACAGTTGGCACCCTACCAGGTGACGTGGTGGCGACCGGATCCTAACATGCAAAAAGTGAGTTTTGAATCATTTTATCGAGTTCAGGGTGCCAATTGGAGCTTTTTTAGTTCAAGGGGCAAATTGAGCAATCTGGGAGAGTACAAGGACCTATTTGACCCTTTAGCCTACTATATACAAGTCCATAACTTAGAAAGCAGGTTCACGCATAACTTTGTTGGTAACATATCAATTATATAGACATTGGTCATACTCAATTATCTTAATAAGAAATATAGAATAGAATGTCATATTTTAATCCATACATATATACATCCTTCATATTAGATATCTAAAAAATTGAAACAAATATTACTAACCTCAAAACATGGAGTGCCTGAACATGTATTGCAGCATATATAAATCTTTGATGTTTTCTTTGGATGAATTCAAGTATCGACTTTCTCAAAGGGCAACATGCACACGTTGTAAACTTATTGGATAATATAGCATCCTAGTAGATCTTAATCTCTCTTGAAGATATAATTGATGTACGGTAAAACAATAACATTAAAAACCAGAACTAATGTATTTAAAGTAATTCTTTCATTTTCGTACCGTTGCCATGAAAAGAATAACCCTTTAAAAATTATTTAATTCAATCTAATAACTACAAGTACTAAGAGAAAATGAAATTGAAATCATATTTATGGGTGCAACTTTAATATATTAATATTTGGTCATGAAAATTGAGGCCATTTTTTATTTCTGAATATGGGATGTTTTTTTTTCATTGCATAGTTTGACATTTTTATGTTTCGGTTATATCTACCTAGTGGCGGATGTGGTAGTGTTCCAAGGTGTTCACATAAACACCCAAAATTTAAAAAATAATGCAAGTATATATGTGTACTTTAATAAAAATCTATTTATTCTTCTTTAAAAATTTATTATTTAAAACATTGAACACTTAAAAATTGGATCTTAAATCCGCCACTGTATCTACCTCTTGATGTGATGAGGATCATTTGTAGGTTTTATTCACCTGACCTTCTAGGTAAAAATTGTTTTTTAAAAGTCTATTAAATGGTGTGTGCTTTTATATTATATTTATGGGTGAGATATTACTAATATTATTTCTTGTAGACAATTGTGCTCCATTTTTTAATACTCATATGATTTTGTATCGGGAATTGAATTGAGTGTTTTGGAGTATGTTTTAAGGTTGCTTCATTATTTCTCCTCAGAATTGTGTATTAGGACACACACAAGTTTAGTACATAAGAAAAGCCAAACTATTTTTATACTAGAACAAGTAAAACTCCTCATTTGACATAGGCACAATATACTATTTAATTAAAAGGTGTGAATGTGTGATAGAGGATTCTATCTCTAAAGAAGTTCTGTACAAAATTTTGACATGGTGCACAATTTTGACTATATTTTTTTTAATATTCTTGTATTCTAACTTTTTATTTTGTCTATCATGTATATGTAAGTTTATTTTTAATATATAAAGTATAAACACTATAAAATGGTAAAATGGATGAACTTAGTACAGTTTTTTCATTTACGGGCAATTTTTTGGAGCTAATGTTGACAAGTTCTGGACCAAAACTATAATTAGAGCAAAATAAATGCATAAATTAAAGGATAGCATCTTGTACTTTGTGTTGGACCTATCCAGGACAAGTTCTAGGGCAAGAGGGGTGACCGCCCTAGGCCTGAAAAAATTAGAAGAAAAAATAGGTCCAAATTTTTTCTTTATATACAGTGTGAATAGACTTCTTTTTTTATTCTTAAGTTCAATTAATTAGGCCTGATGTTTGATTTTGTTGACAATTTGAAAATTTAAAACATAAATAAAAAGTCTAAAACAGATCAAAGTTTAAAAAAAGAATATATACATTAATTTTAAGTAGGATTGATTGTAATTTTTAAAAGCAATACAAATGTTCCTGAATCAATGATAGACATGTCTCTTCACTCTTCACATCTCTTTAACTTTTAAAGTTTTTTACTCATTTTAATTATAACTATTGGGTTAATGAACCACTGACATTTATTCATCAGGGCCCAAGGCAACCAAGACGCACGTCTCCACCCTTGGCCCTCAGCTCAAGGAGTCCTAGCCCAAGGTTAGCCAGCGTACTCCTATACCAACAGCCAGAAGACGCATGGCCTCCCGCCCTTGGCGACATCATCAAGAACAAGTCCAAGGCTCACGGGGATGCTCGTCCCCAAAGACTGGGTGTGAAACCGAGATTCTGGCAAGAAGCGCATTTAATGCTGGAGATTTGGTGGTTGAGACCCCATCCCTCCATGTCAACATATTCATCTGACCCTTGGTAGAATAAATAGTAGCATTTATTTCATTGTAAAGGGTTGTCAACTTACCCGCCTTAGCATTCTAGCATTCTTATAGCTCTTAGCAGTGTTCGCAGCTCTTCTACTTGTGAAGCAGACAAACGGCCGTTGGTCAGATAGCATAGTGTGTTGTAATGAGTTCTTATTATCATTTAATAGGAATACGGCCCACTATCGCAGATACATCTAAGCTCATCTTACTTGCTATTACTCCATATCCACACACACACTCCACTCGAAATCCATAGGTTACGTGTTGGGCCTACGGGTTGAATGAATAAACCTCAACAATAACATAACACATTTATATAATTATTTTAGAGCTCGTGTCTCTCATATCTCATCCAAATTATTTATTTGTTTCCAAATTGCAATAAACTATATCTGAGTTTCTAATAGTAGTTATAGAAGACGACAAATTGGCAATCTTCTTGTGCGGGTCTTCTTGGCATCCAAACATCGTCTCTTTGAAAACGTTCATTCTTTCGAGGCTTCAAACTTTAGACTCTCACCGATCAATAAATCATTCTCAACTTATGAATTCAACATGTAGTACGTAGTAATATTTCTTTTCATTTATCCTTTCATTTGTAACTGAAAGAAAGTTTAGTATTGTTATATGTGGCAATTTTATTGTTTGTCATATTTATTAGTGAAAAGAAGGATGCTTATGAAGCGATTATTGATGTTTTGCTTCACATTGTTCTATGAAAAGCGTTTTTAAGTAATGTTTTTTCTTTTTATTCAATACTCATATTGTTATTTTTGCCCAAATATGTAACTTAAATAATAATACTAAAGTGATTCTCGCCTTTATTTTATGGGCTTAATTAGATACTTTTTATGATAATTTGTATTTCAAATACATATGTGGTTTACCGTTTGTCTTGAATATAAGTCCAAAATAGCATATCGTCCATAGACCCAAAAATTAATAGGACCGGCCCTGGACCTATTGGTGTATAAACCTTTGGTGTTTTGTCCCCCAATATGTTGTTCAAGTTCTTCAGTGGATTTACGGAAACCTGTGTCCATTGCCAAATGGTTTCTTTTCATTTTTTATTATACTTTACCAGTAAAGTTTGGACCAGTAAATGATTCAAAAAAGGCTCCAGCAAATGCTGTAGTTCCAATATAGATATGAGTCCCAATGATACATACATCAATGTATAGTTATTACATGCTAGCAAAGCATGGTCATTTTCTCCTCAGTAGTTTAAATAGTACACAATAATATAAAAATGAAACCCATCACTAAAGTTGAGTTAAAATCAACTGTGTTTTACACCAGATGGATTGATGCAGGGAATGGAGGAGTTTTCAACCTGTGTTCTGCATTCCTGCAGCAATACCCTTCATGGTCAAGATGAGGGTGTCCTCCAAGCCAGGGGCGTAGTCACTCGTAGGGTTCAGCTTCACAAGCTCAGCAGCTGGTTTTGAGTCCACGTAGTCTTTACAAATGTGGGGCCTTAGGGTGACATGGTAGTCAGGGTCTCGGATACGTTTCAGCGTGTATGCTTGACACACATTTAAGGTTGTTATGTACGAATCACGCAACTTCAGTTGCTGTTTCAAGTACGGGTCTCCCTCCAGAAGATCTTTATGTCCAGCAATCTATACATGAAACACAATAAAATTTTCTAATGAAGGCAAGGCTACTACCAGCATGTTTAAGACAATAGAGTTTTAACTTTAAACAACCACCACTAAAAAGACAAAGGGAGGGGATCAGGATAGGAAACCTAGAGATGTGTAAAAAGATCAATACATTAATGATTCTTCAGTACTTCACTTTCCTTCGCATTTCCTAAAGTATATACAAACATAAGAAATAACATTTTTAGCACATTCATTCCACTCCCTAGCAATTTCCGAGATCCAAACATATCCTATCTAATTTCACCGTCCTGGCTGATCGGGCTATAATGTAAAATGTAGTGCATGGGTTACATTTTTGCTGAAAAAGACTAAATTTGAGGGGGAGAGGGGGGGGGGATTACCTCCACTTTTAGCAATTATATTATTGTTTTATTTTACATATATTGCCCAACCTCTCAAGTAGTTTTGCCAACTTTGACTGGGACATAAACTAAGGAAGTGAAAAAAGCATGGTTGAAATTTATGTAGATGAGTAGAAGAGCCAGAAACAATAAAAACCACAATTTGTCTTCTATGAAGGGAAAGACAGCCAAAATAGGAAAGTTGGCAAACCTTTTAGGAACAGAGGAAGCATATGTTAAGTATTCTGTTTTAGATAATTAAGTGTATTCAGCGCTTTTCAGTCACGTCTACCATTTCAGGCCTTACCAAATGGACTCAAGTGAAACTAATTACCTGAAGGAGAAGGTTCTTTGTATCCTCATAGATGGACCTCAAACGCTCACCAAATGGCAATAAATCTTTTGACACAAGAAGCTTGTCATAGAGTGCAGCAATGCCAGGATCTCCCTTGGCAAAAACCATCTCCACAAGATCAATGGTGACCCGAAAGAAAGGCCACTCATTGTACATTTCCTGAAGCATTTTGAGGTTCTTGATGTCCTTGTCAATAGCATGTTTGAAGCCTGCCCCTACACCTAGCCATACCGGGAGGTGAAACCTGGTCTGCGTCCATGCAAAAATCCATGGAATGGCTCTTAAAGACTCAATCCCTCCACTTGGTTTTCGCTTTGATGGGCGACTCCCAATGTTCATTCGACCATACTCTAGTTCAGGTGTGGCCTACCATCACAAATAAATACAAGAACAATGAGTAAGAGAATTGATCGATATCTATAGGGTGTGTTTGGATCCTAGAAAATGAGTAAAGTAATCCCCTATTATCTGGATTTTACATATCTATAATTTATTGTCTTACAAAATAAAAACAAAAATAATATAATATAAGTTTGAACAAATACTATTATAAGTTGGGGTTTTCTTATAGTAATAAATGCTACATAGTATATTTATATGGACACTATTAAAAATTATATTTTTACAACTGTTCTTATTTTAATTATATATTTTTCATTTACTTATAAAACTTGTCTCCCCAACATATCTTTAATCTCCCCAAGATTTTCTTCTCTATTTTCCTTCCTTTCCCCCCTGGTATTTTCTGGGATCCAAATGGACCCATAATGTGCACTGAATGTTTCCTGCATGCACAGACTTACATGGCGGAAATATTCGACAAATCGTGGTTCTGAGAAAACTATGGAGCGGTACTCTTCAGTGGCAACGACGGCAATTTTATCCATAAGTGCACGCCATTCCGGTTTCGGAGAGACCGGCGGGTGCATGCCATGCTCAAGAGTGGCAGCAGTGAAGCGCTGGAGTGTCCTAAAGCACAGGTGTTCCTCCCCGAATGATTGTTCAATCACCTCACCCTGAACTGTAACTCGGAGATTCCCGTGAACAGTGTCAGGCGGTTGCGACAAAATAGCAAGATGTGTGGGACCACCTCCCCTTCCAACTGTTCCTCCTCTTCCGTGGAACATAGTAAGCTTCACACCATACTGCTTCGCAACTTTCACTAGCTCCTCTTGAGCTTTGTACAGCTGCCAGGCCGCTGATAGCCGGCCCGCGTCTTTCCCTGAGTCCGAGTACCCGATCATCACCTCTTGCTTACCGTTAATCCGCTCTCTGTACCATTCAATTGAGAAAAGACGCGCAACAGCGGCTGGAGCAGCCTCTAGATCTGCTAATTTCTCGAAAAGTGGGACCACCCTTAGAGGATGCTTCACACGGCACTCGCGCTGTAGAAGTTCAACAGCGAGCACGTCAGACGGAGCAGTGGCCATGGAGATGATGTATGCTCCAAAGCAGTCCGGTGGGAGCTCTGCTATGACGTGTAATGTTTCCAGAACATCAGAGATCTCCTCTGTTTTCGGAAGGTCGGGTCCGAAAAGAGGTCGCTTCCCGCTCAGTTCAGAGAGAAGCCACTCTTGTCTACGTTCTTCAGACCACTCTCGATATGAACCGATCTCTAAGTGTTTTGTAACAGCATCCAATACATCTGTATGCCTATCTGATTCTTGCCTGATGTCAAGCCTCACCAGTGAGAGCCCAAAGGTGGAAACTTGCCTTAGAAAATCCAACAGACTCCCATCTGCAATAGGTCGATCGCCACAAGCACACAGAGATCTGTAGCAGAGCTCTAGCGGTTCCAAGAACTACACAGAATTTTATTAAATCTAATGAGCTGCACAGTTACAAGAGATGCTCCATAAATAAATATCACAATGGCTATAGATGGTATACATGTAGTCGTGATTTACTAACATTTTGCATGAAATTTCAGGAATATATACTGCACCATTTTTCTGTTCAGCAGTCTTAAGAAAGGAGATAAACAATGTTAAATTGGGCCTACACGGATCCTCAAGGTTTATCTCACTCTTCTATAGGATTCTCAAGAAATGAGGTTTAGATCTACTAAACATCTTAGTGAGACATTTACACATTTCTCACCCCAAAATGAATTGCATAACGTAAACATATGGACTGAAACCGACCATAAACGGGCTACCAAACAGGCTAGCCAAAGCATGGGTGCCAAACAAATGATATGTCACAATCTGATATCATAATAAAGGGGATCGACTGACCCAAAAGAATCCTCAATGAGGCTTACATCATGTAGTACAGTAGTAAACAACTTATGTGGGCCACTTAAAAGAAATCCAACCCAAACCGGGCAGCACAACTTGCGTGTGGATAAATGGGTCAAACTGGCTCTAAACAAGGCTACTCAAGTACTAATACTAGAACACTCGTAAATTAGAAAAGGAAATATAATGGAAACGACAATAACCTGTTCGATATTAGTGAATGTTGCCTCCTCGGGAACATCAGAGTGTCCATGGGCTAATAATTGACGAGTGCGCTCACGAGTCTGGTAGAGTTTATCTCTGACATCACCAAGAATAACACGGTACGGTTCACTGGGTGGAACTTGCTTCCAAAATTCTGCATCACATATAAGTATGTTTAAAGGAAAAGAAATGAATTAAAATGTCTTCTGGACAATATTTTACAACAGTAATGTAAATGTATTTTCATATAATGATTTTGATTAACATCTTCAAAATTAATTGACAAGTTACCTATGTAGTGTTTTGCATCTCTCTTTGATGATTGATAAAGCTCATATGCTCGAGCACGAAGTTCATCATTGCAGCGCCACATAGACATCTACCAGAGGTTGCAACATGAGGACAAAAGAGTTACAATTGGTGTAGCATAAGCAAGGGAAGTAAAAAATCAATGAATATTAAAAAAACATAATCCCTCGAGCCCTAAAAGGTCTGACATAGCGCCATATAAACATTCATATGATCTAAATTAATTCTTTTTTATTCTCTGATGGTGCATGAGATTTTTATCATATTTGAATTTTTAGTGTAGTTTTTCAATGTGTAAATTTTAACAATTAATACAAACTTATTTGGAGAATATGAACTTCATCATCAGTCATTCTTTGTGAACCCTAACGTGCAAAACATTTTCGGGACAGAAGTAGTATTAAATAGTCATAGATTGCCTCATATATAGGAACCACTAGTATCCTCTATTGGCCCTAGAGAAAATTTTTAGTATATTTTGATGCACTAGTCAGTACCTCAAACATGAGATCCTCTATTTGGGAATAGTACAAGTTTGTTGCCATCATTCTGGCTAGTAAGCAAACATCCCTTGTTACCTCAGGAGTCACCCTTGGGTTTCCTGCATGTAGTACACAAGCAGTCAAGCATTAAACCCCATATTAAAAGAGAAATAAGCATTATCTTGTCTTCTTTCTTTGAAAACAAAATCACTTTTCTTTCTTTTATTTCAGGTTCTTATACCCCGTATTAAGAGAACATTTTAGACAAGAAGTTTAAACATTATCAAAATAAGAAGGGCCAAAAGGCAACAAGCAAAAATACTTCAATAAGCTAAATGAATTGGGTCAAATGGGTATTTAAATTATGATCCAAGTCATCCAACCTAATAAACACTGTCTACACTAAACATGAGGAATAATAAAGAGGATATAATCATCAATCTCAAATTAAATACCCCTGATCTTTGCATAATTCCTTTTTCACCCATTAATGCTTTAAATCTATATATTGGTCAAATTAGGCCAAATGTGTATTTAAAGTTTTAAACATAAGAGATAATATATAGATTTAATCATCAAATTCAAATTTAATTATTATAAAACAATACCATCACGATCTCCACCCATCCAAGAAGAAAACTGAATCAATGGGGCATTGTAAGGAACACGTTCATTAATCCCTATGTTTTTTAGGGCTGTGTCAACACGCCGCAAAAACTTTGGAACACCCTTCCAAATTGTTTCATGGAAGTAGCTCATCCCAGCTCTCATTTCATCCTGAGGGGTTGGAGGAGTCCTTCTAATCTCATCAGTTCGAAAAGCAGCTTGAATCTACACAAGAGTAGAACCCATTGAGAGAAGGCCAGTTATTCAGACCAAAGACTCACTTCTCAAAGAATCATAGTATGGGCTGAAAACCATATATGAGTTCAAAATTTAGAAATAAAAGTAAACCCATTGCTTCCGTTAAAATAAGGGTGGCATAAAGTGATAAAGGTAATCAAATTATAAGAATTTACATATATGGGGAATGACCTACTGGTATATAGTTTCACCACGCAGGTGAAATTGAATAGCTAAGTGTATTTATAAAATAAGTTCTGAATGAGAGTCCTGACTGCCTCTCACAATATTGATTCCTTAATGTATTTAATAGTGTCAGATGCACACGAGATTAAAGATATGAAATTTCAGTGGGGACTATGCTACCTAAAATTCCTTACAAGTCTGTTTGGAACTCAGAAAATGCCAAGGGAAGAAAATATGTAGGAAAGTTGAGGGGAAATTTGGAAGGAAAATGTGGCAGAAAATAAAAAATTGTTTCAAACTCAATAAATCAATTTTAGGTTTTTGTTTAAATTCATTTTAGTAGTTATTGCTAAAACAAAATGACTAATAAATCTATATATGTGAAAATACTTATTTTATTTGACCAACTTTGAACTTAGCTCGTATTATCCATGGTAGTTTTAAAAAATCCTAAGTACTTTTTTCCTTTCTCTAACATTTTTCAAGTTCCAAATAGACCCTATGATAATTGGAAAATAAAATATCCATATACTGACTCATAAAACTTCAGGGGTTGGCTGGATTTAAAATTTTGGCATTTGAATGTTAGTGCCTTAGTGGCACGCCTGTTTCTTGAAATACTCCTAGAGAGGAAATTTAACTGAGTTGTAGAAAGGGGAAGCATAATTGAAAGAAAAAATTTACTTAAGCAAAATATTTACCTCCCTTTGCAAAGCCTCATCGAGCTCCTGCTTATCATCAGGTGTAATGTCTTTGGCATACAACTGAGCCAAACAATTCCGGATCCTAAAAGCACAAACTTAAATAAGAGAAGTTTAACAAATGAAACCATGACAAAGTGGAACAAGAAATAAATAAAACCTTGCATGCTTTTGAAGCAATGATCTCCGGATAGATTGTGTAGGGTGAGCCGTTAAAACAAGATCCACAGTTTGGTTCTTCAATGCATCAAACACTTCTTGGGGAGATTTCTTCATGTCCACTACAAGCCTTTTGAGAGTTTCTTCAATGTCAGATTCAGTTATTGCATTGTTCTCGTCAACGAAATCACCCTTTTTTAGTTTCTGCCTGCGGCGATATGCAATCTGCACTTCCTCAGCCAAGTTAGCCAAGTTGAGCATGTGAGAAAAAGATTTTGCTATCACTATGGAATCCCCCGGATCTAGACTTGTCAACACATTCCCTAGCTCCTCAAGCTTCATTGGGTCATGCCTGCCTTCATACTCCGCAGACAGTTCATAACACTCTTGGACCTGGGATGAGAATTTAAAAAAGAAAAAACATTAGATCTAAAATAGTCATCTGATATGAAAATGCTTTTCAGAATCCATATCTTCATACAGGCTATTGTTCATTTGAAATGAAACTGGGAAAAGGACGCATCTTTATCATCAAATATGAAGTCCTTTAACACAAGAAGCATTCAAGAACCATCTAGTATTGCAGCTACTGTCCAATGGAAATCAAGCTAAGTAAAAATCCAACATTTTCCATCAAACAACAAATGGGAGCTTTGCACGATTCAAAAATCCAAAAAAGAATTACATGTTCTTGACATATGACCGCTACTATTGTTAATATAAATCAAAACAGAAAACTCATTGCCTTGGTTAAAGATCATAAATTGGTAACATTCAGCAACAAGATTGACAATGCATTGCCTTGATGAGGATTGAAAGTGTAGCTCCAGAATCATAGCCACGATGAAGAAATTATTACCGTTTCCCTTAGATTCTCTCCATGCAAGTCCTGAAGAATATCAAGAAACCGATCCAGAAGCAAAGCATCATACTCAATAAGCTTGTCATCATCAGAGATCTTCCCGGGAACCAAAAGCCTCAATTGGGCATCAATTGATGCCATCTTCTCCAGATTTCGACAACTCATCTTTTTGCTCTGTGTCACACTCTATAAACCACTTTTAACTATCAACCCAAGACCCTACACAAAAGTACTTGACATAAATAAGAAAAATCACAAAAAGATTATATATTTATGCCAATCCATTATCTTCCAAAAACAACAAAAGAAACAATCAATAATCTATCAAAAAACCAACAAAAGAAAAGAAAAAGAATATAACTCTTTAATCAATACTGTAACTAAGTACGGATTCCAAGATTACAAATTTTCACAGCTATACAGCAATCACATACTACAAAAATCCAGATTGAACCCCAAACAGTGGTGTTGACCATAGGGATAAAATAATCCAGTTCAGAGCCACATTTCTTGATCAAATCAGGGAATGCAGCTAAACAGAACATCTGTGGATACCTTTTAGTCAGAACTTCACTACAATACAGCGTATAAGCAAGGCAAGTACGACTACGTGTTGATAGCATCGTAAACTGAGAAATGGGTAACTGGGAATGTCATCTAAAAATAAAGGATACCTGAATCTCCCTGGAAAAACGAAGAAGATCAAAAGCTGAGGGTAAAGTGATCTAGAAAGGAGCCATTAAAAAGACTCAGTGAAAGGGAAATACTTTATGCGGAGAAATTGGTTTCCTTTTCTGTCTTTTTTCTCTTGTGCGATTGGCGTGTCTCTGTACTCCGGGATCAATAACCTTTGACAAAAATAAAGGCGCAGGTTAGCTGAGCAAGTGAAGCTTTGGATTAATGTAATGCAACAACTTAGTACGGTACTAATACCGTACTAGGTAGGACCGTAGGATACTATGATGATGTACTTCAACTCATTCACAGGCTACGCAACTCGCCAACTGCATAGTTTGTGAAGTAAAATATACGGAGTATGAGTGTTAAAAACTTAGTTTTGATTTGATATAACTCAATAGTTTAATTATTTTTTGGATAATTAGATAGCATAATATACTTAATCTTATTAATAATATATTGAATTTGTGTAGATAATATGAATTTAATTATTAATTCGGTTTCTGATATATCAACTTAAGGCACGATTAAGAATTAGTAGGGCTACATAGATCTCTTAATTAGTACATGTTCTGATCTTCCTTGTTTGTAACCACTGTTTTACCCGGGCGGAGGTTGTGAATGTTTGAATACTTTGTAAGATATATATATATATCGAGGAATGTTCATGTGAGGCCGGCTTGACGGGCTGCTCCGTCCGGCGAGCCCGTTTGGGCACCTTCCCGGTGGAATTTTTTGATGAAATTTTGTGAGCATGTTCCTCATCAAGTCTAGTTTGTCCATACCAAATTTCAGCTCAAAATTCGATCGGGAAGGCATTCAAATCATTTTTTGAAGTTGACTGCAGTTTTATATGTATATTTTGAGGCAGTCATCTTCAAAAAATGATTTGAATGCCTTCCCGATCAAATTTTGAGTTGAAATTTGGTATGGACAAACTAGACTTGATGGGAAACATGCTCAAAAAATTTCATCAAAAAATTCCACCGGGAAGGTGCCCAAATGGGCTCGTCCGGACGGAGCATCCCGTCAGGCCGGCCTGATGAGAAGAGTACTCTATATATATATATATATATATATATATATATATATATATATATATATAGAATAAAGATCAAATGAGAACATTGCTTAACGTGAGAACGTGAGAACACCACATTTACCCCAACGTGTTGCACAATGAAGCTTGTATATTGCACATTTTCACATTTTCACTATATTTAACAAAATGCCATCATGTTTATTTAATATAGGCTAAACTCGAGCAAATTGAAAATGTGCAACACAATAGCTCCATTGTGCACCATATTGATTTAAATGTGAGTGTTCTCACGTTCTCACGTTAAGCATCGTTCTCACTGGAACCACACCCTATATATATATATATATATATATATATATATATATATATATATATATATATATATATATATTGTTAGAGATATTTTTATTGTAATTGTGATCAATGTTACTTTGCTAGTTTATAGTTAGCTAGAATAATGAATAGGCCTGTTAAGGCAATTTTGTAATAAAGGTTTTATACCTTTTTAGGTATGGGCCTCCTAGAAAAAGGAGCCCAAATGATTGTAAAACCTACCTTTCCCGTCAGGCTATATATATGCCTTAAGGGAAAGGCTAGGTTAAGCTTTTCGATATTCCTAGTGCCGCAGTGCCTATTCTTGTGTAAGGTTTTTACGCTAAAAACTCTCATATCATTCTGTAAAACCTTCACATCAATGGAAAGCTTCATTCCCAGATCTATCTTCCATACATACATATTCTAGACTAGAAAACAGGGACCTAACATCTGGTATCAGAGCCAGAGCTGATCGATCGATTGAAGGCTGAAAATCACTCCTGCGCGATTCTTCATCGTTGAAGTTTCGCACTTGAGCGATCTTCTGTTCTATTTTTGTTGTTGTTTTTACAGGAAAATGGCTGAAGGAAAAGGTTTCTACTGTTGCTAGGATCATTTCTGTAGAAAATCGCTATCTGAAACTCGGCGTACAGGTTAAGCCAGACTTGAGCGATCCTGCAGTATAGCGCAACACGTCTGGAAGAAGAAGAACAGGTTGAGCGATTCTCCTGCGCGATTTCGAGTTTCGCGCAATACATCCTGCGCGATACTTGGACTTGCGCCATCCTCATTTGACTGCTGCGCGATCTTGCACTTCGCTCAACGTCTTCTGCGCGATCTTCACTTCGCGCAAGCTCACCTGCGCGATCGTTGATTTGCGACATTTTGGACTTGAGAGATTTTCTGGAGTTGAGCGATATTTTTACAAGTTGAGAGATTTTTTTGTGAAGTTGAGAGATTGTTTTTTAAAGTTGAGAGATCTTTTTGTATTGTGGAGAGATTGTTTGTGAAGTTGAGAGATTTTTTAGTGTTGAGCGATCCTTTTAAAGGTTGAGAGATTGTTTGCTAAGACTTGAGCGATCTTTTTAAGACTTGAGCGATCTTTTTACAAGTTGAGCGATCTTTTGTAAACCTGAGCGATCCTTTTGTAAAGTTGAGAGATTGTTTGTAAACTTGAGCGATCTTAGCGAAGTTGAGCGATCCTTCAACACCTTGCCCGATTTAGACACTTTGCAACTTGAACAAAGACATCTGACTGAAGACCCAAACAACAGAACAGAACCTATTCAATCAACTGATCAGCCCGATCAATTTCAAAATGGATGCCCTATCTATTGGAAACGATACAAGACCCCCGATTCTACGAAGAGGGGAGTACAATGTATGGAAGAACAGATTCTTAAACTTTCTTGAGAGCAAGGACCAATCCTCAGGTCTTCTTGACTCTATCACAAATGGGCCTGCACAATTGATGATAGCAGTTGAGAGAGATAACGGAAACAATCCACCTGTCGAGATTGAGTGGAGACCCAAGACGGTAGATGAATACGATGACGAGGACAGAGCAAGACTCCGTGCAGATCTCATTGCCAAGACCTATCTGTTGCAGGCCATCCCGAACGACATCTACATGCAGATTGACAGCATGTCAACTGCAAAAGAGATGTGGGATGAGATCTTCAAGATCATGCAAGGCACTGAGATCGGAGTAAAAGCGAAGAAAGCTAGCACATTCACTGCTTATGACTCATTCAAAGCCAAGCTTGGAGAATCACTCGAAGACACCTACCTGAGATTTCTGCAATTGATAAACGAGATGAGAAAGATTGGCGTGCATAAGTCCAACATGGAACTGAATGTGAGATTTCTATCTTCTCTTGGAGCTGACTGGAAGAAGCTGAGCTCACAGATAAGGCACACGAAAGACCTTGATGAAATGGACATCCATGCTGTGTACAATACACTTGACCAGTATGCTGAAGATTTTTCTGATCTCGTGGTCGCCTCTGTGACAGCTGACAAAGGGAAGGGAGCTGTGGACAAGCTTGCTGACACCCTTGCCCTGATGCTTGACAAGCCATCGAAGTCTGGCTCCAAGAAGGATAAGATGATAGTTGAAGAAAGTGAAAGTTCTGACAGTGACATTGGATTTAAAAATGATTCAGATGATGATGAGCTGCATGATTTTCAGAAACAGATAGCCCTTCTTACCTCGAGGTTCAACAATCATATGCAGAAAAAGAAGAACTCTTCTAACAACAGACTCCGCAAGTCCTCTTCCAGCAACAACAAGAGAAAAGAGCGATCTTTTGAATCGTCTGAGAATATTGTTGCTGAGGATGCTCCAAAGTGCTTCAATTGTGGGAAGACTGGACATCTGATGAAGGATTGCAGGTTGCCTAAGAGGAAGAAAGATGCTGAGTACTACAAACAGAAGATGTATCTGAACAAGAAGAAGATGTTGCTGGCAATGGAAGAAAATAGTGAGAAGAGTGCCCTCATGGCTGAAAAAGACCACTGGATGGATGATTCTGATGAGGAAGAGAATCTGGCCTTGATGGCAGTGGTTGAAGAAGAAGAGAAAGAGAAGGATGCTGAGAAGGAAGGAATGATGAAGTCAACCCCTACTGCTGATGAAAAGGAGAAGAACAAAGCTGAGGAGAAGAAGAACCTGCCTACTGCAACCAATGCTGATATAGCAACTGCCCTGACTGCTGAAAACAGAAATGCTGACAATGAAGTAAGTACCTCTAATCCATCTATTCATTACTGCTCTAGAACAGATATGCATGATAAATTTAAGGAGCTAGAAGTGAATTACAAAAGGTTGTATGAGGTATATAACCAACTGCGTGAAAAACAGACATGCTCAAACATTAAGATAATCAATTCAGAGAAAACAATCACTAAGCTTACAACTGAGAATAAGCGACTTAGTGCGAGTGAGAAAGAGTTGACAGAGAAACTTAGAACAACCGAAAAAGAAAGAATTAGGCTTTTTGGTGTCAATAATTTGCTAATGGAAAGAAGGGGTGCACTTTATACTAAAATCAAAGAACTTGAGGATCTGTTAGCCAAAAGGGACCAAACAGATCAGACTATTTTCCTTAACCAGCCTAAGGACACTCGTTTCTATAATGCCAAAGAAGGCTTGGGTTTGACCAATCCTCAAAACCTGAAAAAGGTCAACTGTAGACAACTCTATGATGTTAGATACATGAAAATAGGATTGACCAAACTCATGGCCTTCACTGGTAATGAAGAAACGAATGCCCTTGAGGATGAAAAGAGAAAGACAAAGGCTGGTGTAGAGGTTCCTTTTGACTACACAGAATTAAACAAGAGCTACAAAACCAAAGCACTCCCTTTAACTCCTGCTGAAGAAATCTTGACCTATCCTCCTGAAAAGGAAGCTGTGAAAGACGGAGAGGAGGCTTCCACATCTGAACCAATTGAGAAACCAGCTTACATTCCACCATTGGTGAGAAAGTTTGCTGAGTTAAAAGATTCTTTTGAAAAAGAAAAACAGATTTTAGAAAAAGAAAAGGATGAACTTTTAAAAGAAATAATCTCTTTGAAAACCGCCTCTCAGTCTAACACAGCTTCTCAATCCTCTTCCCTTTCTACTTCTGAAAACACCTCTGAAAATTCAAGCGATAGTTTTAAGACATCTTCTTCTCACCCCAAGTCTCATTCTCCGACAGGGAAAGATGTGAAGAAGAGAGTCGAGAAGAAAGGGGAGTGGATTGAAGACAAAATAAGAAGGAAGAAGAGAGAAGAAGAGTCGAGATTAAGAAATAAGTGTCAGCGGTC